GATTAGCCCCTGATTAGTGGGTGATGAGCCCCTATTTATACCTAGCTGAGTGGGGTAGAAATATAACTATGGCTGAATCCAGGCAGAAAGCTGGATTAGCAGATATCTTTACAGGTTTCAACCGCATAGGCAATTAGTCATCCTCGATTGGACATGAGGGTGATTGAGGGGGGTATGGTGAGTGATGAGTCATGAGGACTCGTGGCATCCATGATGATGATAATGGATAGCTATTGGCGTCGCTTTCAAGGTCAAACCGCCTCTTGATTCGGCTTTGCGAGAGGAACGATAAGTGTTGGATAGTAGGTTCCTAATATGTTTCCTAATTTGTTTTGGTAACAGGTTATTAGGATTCCTAATCTGTTTTGGTAACATGATTCTAAATCTGTTTTGATAACAAGTTATTAGGATTCCTAATCTGGCTGGGTTGAGCTGGCATCATTGATGCTAAGATCCGACACATGTCGGCTTCATGAGGATGATCAATACTTAGGCTAATTGATGTTATAACAGATTCTATTCCTTTTTTTTTTTTGTATTATTCTTATCAAATCTTTATATCAGCCTCATCAATTCTTTAGTATTTTAAACATAATCCCTCAAATCATTGAGTTTGCTATTAGTTCTTCCAATTCTTACGTCTTACTACTTCTTCTCTTGCTTGAAGGTATTGATTGAAACAGTTTACAAAATTTGGAGACCTAATAGCAGTGTCAATGATTTGGAGGAATAGTTTTGACAATTGAGGGACCTATAATAGCAATTTCAATCATTTGAGAAACTAAATTTCAAAATATTAAAGATTAATATGGAAATTAAGTTCCCATTTCCGTATTAGGCCTTCAAATCTTCATATTTGTATTTTACACCTTTAATTAAACTAAAAGCAAACTAATGGATTTGTGTATTAGTAGGTTGTTATTTAAAACAATTAATGAATTTGATGGGTTATAACATTATAACTTGTAAAAATATGGGTGTTCTTTGCGAAATAATTTAATTATTCAATTGGGTCGACTTCGGTCCAACGCAATAACAGACGGGACGGTTTGAATCCGGATACCTAATACAATTGCCTACCCGAACCGACTCTTAATGTTTCCTGATATAGAATTCAGAACAAGTCGATCCAAGTCCTTCGTTAACGATACTTACCAAATATGGCTCCGGTTATTTCAAATCCTTGTTGTATTAGGACAGAATCTTATGTATTTATCTGCAAACAAATACCCTGCTGATAGAAAATTACACAAAAAGCTAGAGAGCATAGAAAGAAGAAGAGACGTTGAAAGCAATGAGATGGTAAAGCAAGAGAACCGCAGAAGGTTTCGAAGATCGAGAACTTGCCCGAGAACCCGCATGAAAATGTAAGTTTTTTTTTCTTTAATTATTGAAATTTTCTTTGATAATGTGTTAATGTCTTGCTCGGATCATTCTAGTCTGAAACTGGGTTTTTTTAAGGGATTGTGGATTGTCTTCGACCTGTTTGTTCTTCTAGATATGATCAGAAAACACATCATGGAATTCAAAGGTTTCACTCTGCAATGAGGTTATTGCAATTAATAAACCCCCTATTCCTAATCGAGAAGAGGAATAGTATTAAGTTAATCAACCTCCTAATCGAGAAGAGGAATAGTATTAAGTTAATCAACCTCCTAATCCTAATCAACTGTAGGAATTGAATTAAGTCAGTAAACCTCATAATCCTCTTAATTAACAAACCTCTTAATTCTAATCACTGTAGGAATATGATCACATTAATAAAACTCCTAACAGGAATCGGATTACCAATCTATGATATGGCTGAGAAAAATTGTGCAGAGCTTCCAACGGAGCTCCTCGGGCTGATCCTCCAGAAGTTGACCTTGCCGGATCACATTAGATTGAGTACGTGTTTGCAAGTCATGGAACCAAGCCGTTAGGGAGAAAGCCTGGCGCCCGAAGCCTGATTCCCCGTGGCTCATGCTACCCGGCGAAGACGATATTAGTGCTAAATCCTTGAGCTTCTCTGAAAATCGAACCTACAGCATCCCTCTCCCTCTTCCAGAGATACGAAGACGCGTGTGCATCGGATCTTCTCACGGTTGGCTCGTAACTGTCTATGATATGTCAGAGATGCATCTTTTGAATCCGGTAACCGGAGTGCAAATCCAGCTCCCCTCTATCACCACTCTACCCTATGTCTGCGACTACGTAGAGGCTGACCGTCGCTATTTTCTCTACAAGGCAATCCTGTCCTTGCCTCCTCCTGCTGATGGTAGCGGTGACTTCACAGTTATTCTTCTCCACAACCCTTTTAGGCTGCACGATGATGATTTCAGTAACATGGCAATCACAAAAGTTGGAGATAATAGCTGGACTTCATTGCCACAAGCATGTCATGACAGTATCGCGGATATCATACCCCACAAAGGACAACTGTATGGTGTGGATGCACGAGGGGTACTCCATGTATGGGACCATCATCACCTTACATCTGGTCCCAAATCCACTCTGAAAATACAATTTTATTGCGGCATGACCAAACTATTGGTAGAGTCCTTGAACGGAAAACTATACATGCTATACAAGGGCCTATATTACAATACATTTATGGCCATTAGGCTCGACGCGGATAACCCTGAATTCATCCCTGAGAATGATCTCGGGGACAATGTCTTTTTCGTTGGTTCAAATACCTTATTTTCCGTCTCTGCAACAAAATTTCCAGAGCTTGGAGGGAGCTGCATCTACTTCACAGATGACGTCTACTTTGACTTTGACAACCTCGAACACGAGCCACGTGAGATGGGTGTGTTTGATGTGAAGAATGGGAGCATGAAGCCTATACGCAATCTTGGACAGCACTTACATTGGCCTCCGCCTATATGGATCATTCCTACCTTATTCTGAAAGACTAGTAAATGACTAGCAACAACCATCAGAGGGACAGCCAGAAACCTATATGGCAACAGATTTTCGAAGGGTTTGTAGTCAGTCGGTATCAAAGTGTAAAATATGTGAAATTTTAGGGAACCATTTTTAATTTAAACTTCATACTACTACTTAGTTACAGTAGATTACTATTAGCGGTTTCTTAGCATTTGAAATGTCTGATGCAAAACCAGCTCTGTATCAGAAACGTGTTACATACGACTTAGCAGATTCGTCCTCGTTAAATAGCTCATTCTAATTCCTCATCTATATGCATATTTGTTTAGGTGCATTGAAGACATTTTGATTGATGAGGATGATGCATGATAGACATCTGGTTTCTTGCCTCAGAACTTCTTCTGCAGTAGTCTACACAATCAACTGGCTCTAGTTTCTAAACTGTCAGCATTTATAATATATGGTTGCTACACTGTATCAGAAATCTGATTCATATAGTTTCGTATCAGATTCATGAATCTTAAACATCTCAGTCAAATTACCAATATGAATATGTTTCCTATCTTGCGAGTTTACAGTTTGACACTGTAGGCTACGTTAATCTTCTCATATTTCTTTATGTTATTTATATGCACACATGTAACAATTTCCATCTGTCAGAGAAATGCAATAAGTATTACAGTTATGTGTCACATATTCTCTACAAACTTTTAGCCTTGAAGTATTCCATACCTATTTTGGAACAATAGTCTCGATAATGCAGGGCGGAGTAAAACAGGCTAGTAGCTATTATTGAAAACAAGAGTACTGAAATTAGGAAATTCTTGATACCATGTGAGAATTTATTGGCTCTTTACTTCAGAACTTATGATATCATACTCCCTTTAAAAGCACGAGTTCGGAAAAATCTTTTTTTGACAAATATACCCCTATAAAGTTTGAACTACCCTATCTATAATCAAATTCTAATTTTCAGATTTAATTAAATGATGGGAAATGATGCTGTTATTTTGGAATTAACTTTAATAACTATATACACTATATTAATAACAAATTCCCGAACAAAATATAGCTATAGAAATTAATAACATCTATATACATTGGAAATGACATTGTTATTTTGGAACTAACTTTAATAACTATATACACTATATTAATATAACAAATTCCCGAACAAAATATAGCTATAGAAATTAACAACATCTATATACACTATATTAATAACTATCACGGGTATAGGAATATTACAAAACATCCTATCCCGGGTATCATGGGGAACTAACTTTAATAACTATATACACTATATTAATAACAAATTTAATAGGGGTTTTTGCTTTTAGACCCATTTGTTTACTCTCATTTATCTTTAAACCCAAGTACTATTATTGTATCTTTAAGCCCAATTCACTTTTTTTGTTTATCTTTAAACCCAATCTTCAAAATACTATATTTTCATCACTTGTATTTATACACCATGAAGGTAAAAAAACCAAAAATACCCCTTCATTGCCAAATATAAACCAAAATCACTCTCATAATTTTCCCCTTTCTCTCTCAGCCCTAAATTCCCAAAACGACCACGAACTGCCGTGTCGCCGGCTCACCCACCGCCACCGTGTCGCGCGTCCGCCCACCGCCGTCGTGTCGCTCGTCGCCCACCGCCGTCGTGGTCGACCACGAACCCGTTGCCACCCATCGTCCACCGTCCCGCTCATCATCGCCGTCGAAACAGATCTCGCCCATCCCAGTCGTCGTCCACCGCCGTCAACCTCGTCGTTGTCATTTTGCTCAATTGGGTAAGTTCTAATTTGATTTTTTTAAACTTTGTTCCAACCTTACATGTTGTAAATATGGGTTGGATTTTGATTGTTTTAATCTGAAAAATGATATATTGAGTGAGGATTTCATAGGTTGAGATGGGTTCTGTATTAATTTGATATGGGAACTTTTTTTTGTGGATGAAGTTTGATTTCATTTTCATTTGGAGGTGATAGATAGAATTGGAAATTTGAGATATTGTGATAAATTTATAAAAATTATGTGATCTTGGGTTCATTAATTAGGGAGAGATGAGGTTTGTTGTTAATATGATTAGTTTTGGTTCTGGGATGTGGTATGGGTTCATTAATTAGGGAGAGATGAGGTTTGTTGTTAATATGATTAGTTTTGGTTCTGGGATGTGGTAGATGATGTTGATAAGTTTCATATTGGAGATGGATCATCATTGGTTCTATTAATATTAGTTCTAAATTGTTGTTGCCTATGATATCGTGGTAGTTTGATTCTGGGTATGACTGACATGGTTTTGGAGATGCATCAATGAAAATAACTCGTCGAGTGTGGATCGAATGTTTAAGCCAATAACGACAACTCGATTCTAAGAACATGATAAGATTATTTTCAAATGAGGGTAGAGAGGGGAAAAAATTATTTGCAAATTGGAGAAGACTAGCATGCTTCTGTTTCTTAAAAATGAGTCCTAACAAATAAGAGTATATTGCATTTTTTAATTTTTTTCCCCTTGTTTAATGCAGTATCAGTATATTGTATGTTCTTAGGAGGCTAAACAAAATGGGCATCACACGCACGGAAATTGCCTTAAGCGACACTGCCCCTGTATCGCAATAAGATGTTAACATGAAAATGATATACCTGTCATGTGGACTGTGAGTTGGAATATACACAACAGTAACTTATACAGATCTTCGCCCCGCATCGTCGGATCTCGTCGTCGCCGCCTTATCAGATCACGTCATCAGATCACATCATCTTCGCCTCTTCTTCGCCCGCCTCGTCTTCACCGCACGCCGTCAGATCTCGAGATCTGTTCCACAAGGTCGAATCGAAACTCTAGTTTTAATTTCATATCTAAATTTCTCTTTTGAATTATATGTGAACTAAGTTGTTTTGAAATGACGATATTACATTTCTAAATTGCTCTCTTTTCATTGGGCCCTTGTAGAAGTTTCACAGAAAAATACAACTCTCTCTTTCTCTCTCATCAGTAAGTAACAATTTTCTCGCCGTCGAGTCCTCTCTCCGACGATGGAAGAAGACGATGATGAAGACATTACTAGTAGAATATCAGAAGCTTAGATTGGATTGGGAGGCATTGGAAATTTAGGTGAGATTATTTTCCTGGCTGATTTTTTCCTCATTATTTGATGTTTTTTCTACAGTTTCTTTATTGAATTTATAGCATTGAAGTCCATCTCTAAAGATTAGAAGTAGTACTCTTACCTAATGCCGTGTTTGATTTTTATTTTTATTTTTATTTTTATTTTATATTTTTTACGAGCTATTGCTAGGTAAAATTCCAGCTTTTAGTAAGTGAAATTGGGGATTGCCAATTTCTTTCCACAATTTCTGAATATAGATCTCCATAGCCTTATACCTCACATTCAATCCAAGCAGATGACCCGACCATCTTCTCTAGAGTTCAATCAGACATCTCAACTTTGGATAATACCTCTTGCATTGATAATGTACATCCTAAATGTACATCCAAAGTTGCAACCATGGATCTATTTTGCTTGGGATTAGGATTAGGAGGTTTACTGACTTAATTCAATTCCTACAGTCATTATGAATACGAGGTTTAACTAAATCCTATTCCCATAGAGATTAGGATTACGAGGTTTAACAATTTAATCCTGTTCCTGTACCTATTCCTGTACTAGTGATTAGGATTAGGAGGTTGATTAACTTAATACTGTTCCTCTTCTCGATTAGGAATAGGAGGTTTATTAATAGCAATAACTCATTGCAGAGTGAAACCTTTGAATTCCATGTGAGATTAACACAATTTAATCCTGTGTTTTCTGATCATATCTAGAAGAACAAACAGGTCGAAGACAATCCACAATCCCTTAAAAAACCCATTTTCAGACTAGAATGATCCGAGCAAGACATTAACACATTTTCAAAGAAAATTTCAATAATTAAAAGAAAAAACTTACATTTTCATGCGGGTTCTCAAGCAAGTTCTCGATCTTCAGAGCCTTTTCGTGTAATTTTCTATCAGCAGGGTATTTGTTTGCAGATAAATACATAAGAATCTATCCTAATACAACAATGACTTGAAATAACCAGAGCCATATTTGGTAAGTATCGTTAACGAAGGACTTGGATCGACTTGTTTTAGAAAACATGTCTGAATTCTATATCAGGAAACATTGGCGTGATTTGAAAATTAAGAGTCGGTTCGGGTAGGCAATTGTATTAGGTATCCGGATCCGATAAGGTTTAACTAGAAGGGCTTGTTTATCGGGTTGGGTAGAAAATTTAACGGGGTCGGATTCAAACCGTCCCGTCTGTTATTGCATTGGACCGAGGTCGACCCAATTGAAAAATTAAATTATTTCGTAAAGAACACCCATATTTTACAAGTTATAATGTTATAACCCATCAAATTCATTAATTGTTTTAAATAACAACCTACTAATACACAAATCCATTAGTTTGCTTTTAGTTTAATTAAAGGTGTAAAATACAAATAAGAAGATTTGAAGGCCTAATACGGAAATGGGAACTTTCCATATTAATCTTTAATATTTTGAAATTTAGTTTCTCAAAGGATTGAAATTGCTATTATAGGTCCCTCAAATGTCAAAACTAGTCCTCTAAATCATTGACACTGCTATTAGGTCTCCAAATTTTATAAACTGTTTCAATCAATACCTTCAAGCAAGAGAAGTAGTAAGACGTAAGAATTGGAAGAACTAATAGCAAACTCAATGATTTGAGTGATTATGTTTAAAATACTAAAGATTTGATGAGGCTGATATAAAGATTTGATAAGAATAATACCAAAAAAAAGGAATAGAATCTGTTATAACATCAATTAGCCTAAGTATTGATCATCCTCATGAAGCCGACATGTGCCGGATCTTAGCATCAATGATGCCAGCTCAACCTAGCCAGAGGTGACTCGAGTCACTTGGGCACTCGACCTTCCAGAGCTAGGACGAGTTGACACCAGCTCTCATTCGACCCATCATTCGAATCAACCACCCTCATTCACTCGGCTGTATTGACAACTTGCGAGGCCAACTAGAAAGGCGGTACTTATCGTTCCTCTCACAAAGCCGAATCAAGAGGCGGTTTGACCTTGAAAGCGACGCCAATAGCTATCCATTATCATCATCATGGATGCCACGAGTCCTCATGATTCATCACTCACCATACCCCCTCAATCACCCTCATGTCCTCGAGGATGACTAATTGCCTATGCGGTCGAAAACTGTAAAGATATCTGCTAATCCAGCTTTCTGCCTGGATTCGGCCATAGTTACATTTCCACCCCACTTAGCTAGGTATAAATAGGGGTTCATCACCCACTGAGCAGGGGCTAATCCTGTTGGGTATGATCGTCTATGAACCTTGTTTAATAATAACAAACCCCTATGAACGTTCTGATTTGTGTGTTGAGTTGTGCAGGTTGCAGGTTGAACGGAAAAGGATGTATGCATGATGATGGTAATGGATAGCTATTGGCGTCGCTTTCAAGGTCAAACCACCTCTTGATTCAGCTTTGCGAGAGGAACGATAAGTACCACCTTTCTAGTCGGCCTCACAAGTTACCAGTACAGCCGAGTGAATGCGGGTGGTTGATTCGAATGATGGGTCAAATGAGAGCTGGTGTCAACTCGTCCTGGCTCTGGAAGGTCGAGTGCCCAAGTGACTAAAGTCACCTCAGGCTGGGTTGAGCTGGCATCATTGATGCTAAGATCCGGCACATGTCGGCTTCATGAGGAAGATTAATACTTAGGCTAATTGATGTTATAACAGATTCTATTCCTTTTTTTTGTATATTATTCTTATCAAATCTTTATATCAGGCTCATCAAATCTTTAATATTTTAAACATAATCCCTCAAATCATTGAGTTTGCTATTAGTTCTTCCAATTCTTACGTCTTACTACTTCTTACCTGGATTTGGCCATAGTTACATTTCTACCCCACTCAGCTAGGTATAAATAGGGGTTCATCACCCATTGATCAGGGGCTAATCCTGTTGGGTATGATCGTCTATGAACCTTGTTTAATAATAACAAACCCCTATGAACGTTTTACAAATATATAATTAATATATATACAGTTATATATACTTATACATATATACATATATACTATACATACTTACATACATACATTATATATATATGTGTGTGTGTGTGTGCGCGCGCGCGCGCGCGTGCGGCGCATACTATTTCCAAAGCCCAAGAAAAAATTTTTTACAAGATTTCCGCCAGGCCTAGTTCAAAGTGTGTAGGAAAAAACCCACACAAACAAGCCTAACTAAGATTTACTGTGCATATCTCACCGTTACAGACCACGTGTCTCCGATCCGTTCAGCCTTGCGTCGATCTAGCGGCGCGCATCAAATGCGCGTGATTTTAGCTGCAAGCGGGCCCTACCTCGTATGGGTGCGCCACTGAAGGGGGAGAGAAAAACAAGCAAGGGACCACAAGAGGATATTTCAGCCAATAATTGCATGCCACGTGGCATATGGAGTGCAGAAAAGCGGTACAAATACAGAGTCCTATACATGTATGTGTACAAAGTGTTTTATGGGTGTTTTGACTTTTCTATGGCCCCAGATTGTGCCACAAGTCATATCCAAAGGGCAGAATTAAACCCTAAGCAGATTAGGGCTAGCAAAGCCTACTTAAAGGCTGTTAATGACGACGAAGTGAGATTAAAAAAAAGAGAGCAGAATACAGCAAAATTCGCAGATACTTCTTGCGCAGGCTTTGCTCAAAAATTGGTAAAAATCTTCGTTTTGTGATCCGTCAAAAGCTGTACGAAGTAGACTCAGAGCCAGACGCGTTAATACTAGTTTTACAGTGAGTGCTACTTTAGAAAATTCCAGATTGATGCTACAAAGACAATAGAATATGCAAATCCTCCTTGCACAGACTTCGCTCAAAAATTCGTAGAAATTCATCAAAATCTCTGTTTTGTGATCCGTCAGAAGTTGTGCGAAGTAGACTCAGAGATGGACGTGACAATACCAATTATACAGTGAGTACTACCTTAGAAAATTCCAGATCGACGCGATAAAGACAACATTGAGCTTCTATAAACTTTGTTCCTTTTTTCGTTGTCGATTTGTATCGTCTTTTATACTTATTTTGGACTCTAGATCTGTTTTAGGTTGGGTTGCGGGAAATCAGGCCATTTGAAAGCTGAATGTCTATTTCTAAAATTCGTGAAAAATCAATGATGGTGACCTGGGATGATGATGATGAGAATGATCCCGAAATGGAGGACGCTTTCTTGACATTGTGCTTAATGGGAGACGTCGACAAGAACAACAATGAAGATGAGGTACAACCCTTGTCCAAGTCTGACATTATTGCGATTTGTGATAACATGTACACCATGATAGAACAATAACATGCTAGCATAAAGGAGTTTCAAGAAATAAATTACAAATTGCAAGAAGATGATTATAACTTGAAAATAAGAAATGAAAAGCTAGAAAATGAAAATAAAACGTTGAAAACTCTTCTTGCTAAAATCGAAGAAAAACATGCTTCGCAAGAAAGTAGAATTTGTGAGAGGTGCTCTATGCTTGAATTAGAAATCAAAACTTCTAAGAAAAATTTCGAATGTGAAGTAGATAAACTGAAAAATGATTTGAAAACAAAAACTGTTTGCGAAAAATGCCTACTGTTTAAAAAGGAATTCGAGAAGGAAAAAGAAAAGCTTTTGAAGGAAAAAGAAACGTTTGAAAAAAAAGGAGGATCTTTTGAAAGGTGAGATTCAAAATCAGAAAACTTTTGCTAGTTGTTGTACCTTAATAGTTAATGAAAATATCTTTTTAGTGACATTGCAATTGACCAATTATTGACAAACACGACAAGAACATTGCATGCATAAATTGGGATGACTATGATGCACCAAAATTTTAGTCCGACATGGGGAAAACTATGAGAAACTTAAAGAACTTAATCCTACCCCCTTTAAAAGTACGAGTTCGGGAAAATCTTTTGGTAAACAAAAATACCCTTAAAACTCAAATACTAATCCATAGACCTAAATTATCTATTCTCACTTCCTTTTAACTAACCTCCAATCAAAATTTTCGTTTAACTGACTGGCTTAATATGCATGTATATTATTCAATTATCTCATACTTTGGCGATATTTTTTTTGAACTGTTGTAGCCACTTTTGCATGTAAGCCCTTCATATCCAGCTATTTTCATGTTTACTTAATCCTAATGCTAGGAGAATTTTACATCAATTCAATTTAATAGTCTTTATGAATTTGTTTTATCTTTTAAGTAGGAGTTGGATTTGTTCGTTATGTATATTATTCAATTATCTCATACTTTGACGAGATTTTTTTATTTTTGAATTGTTATAGCCACTTTTGTATGTTAACCCTTCTGAGTTGGATTTGTTTGTTATATCATTGTAGAGTTACTATTATCATAGAATTCTTTAATAGACCATCTACCTTATATATATTGCCCATCTTGCACCCGTGAACATAAATGCAAACAAATTAATTAATCCCTAATTAAGCTTGTTGAATATTATTATTTAAATAGAACTCTCTTTATAATTGTTATCCTCTCACATGCAACATAACGTATCGATATATATAAACCAAGAAATGACAATAATTTTCTTAGCACATTCGTCTCCTTCAACAAGTATGTGACTTTGTTATTTTCTTCTTATTAGGTTAGATTGGATTATTTTAAGGTAATTAATTATATTATATGTTTGTATATTACATCTTTTTTAAGATCAAGAAATTGTAACAATTTTCACAGCACTTTCATCTCCTTCAACAGGTACACGTCTTTGTTATTTTCTTATTAGATTAAATTAGATTGTTTAATCAATACGCATGTATATTATTCAATTATCATGCATGTAGAACCAATATACGCGTTTAAAATTTTTTTAAGAAGTATTTCTTAATCCTATATCTTGATTGAGGACAATGTTATATGTATAAGCATGAGTTCGTGAAAATAGTCTGGTAGACAAAAATACCCTTGGACTTCAAATACTAATCCATAGACCTCAATTATCTAATCCTGCTTACATTTAACTAACCTCTAATAAAAAATTTGCCTTATATATATTGTTCATCTTGCACCCGTGAACATATATGCAAACAAATTAATTAAGCCCTCATTAAGCTTGTTGAATATTATTATCTAAATAGAACTCTATTCTGCTTCTACTCCAACTATAGGGAACGAATACCTTTGAGTCCAAACAAAGCTTTCCATCACGAAGTCCAGTTCTACTCTTCATTGAGATAGGCCTCTGCCTTTCCTGGAACAACAAAAAAAACTATTATAACATGATACTTGTCGCTTACCTCAGCAAATTAACACCGTTGACATTAAACTCCCATAAGCTTACAATCAGAAGTTACATTAATTCCTAAAAATGTATGACTTTTAGTTCCAATTTTTGTCAACATTAACTTCATATAAGAGTGTGTACATGAACTCCTAGAAATATTTAGTAGAAAATACCTTACACCGGCTGTGTCCATGCATTGCGTGACCAGCAATCATTGAATTCCAAGCAACAACGTCCTTCTCAGGCATTTTATCAAACACCAAGCACACATCTTCCAAGCTGCCACACTTATAATACATATCGAGGAGGGAGGTGGAGACGAAGGGGTTGGAGAGTGGGAGGAGCTTGAGGGCGAGGGAGTGGAGGGTGCGGCCGATGGGGAGAGGGGAGGACTTGAGGGCGGAGGAGAGGATGTAGGAGTTCGGGAGGGGGTCCGGTGAGGAGGATTAGACATAATATACTACTTGTTATCATTAAAATCATGAGAAATGAACCAATTCTCTGATAACTCTAATCGCCAATTGAACCAATTCACGAATAATTTCTAGATTTCTTTAATGACCCTTCCCCTCAGCATCTCCTTTCCCAGCATCTCTATTTTCCCCTCAGCGTCTCCTCACCTAGCTGCTTCTCCTACTTATCCATTGGAGATAAGGCACTGAAAATCATTGAGAAAACAATACCAAGATTCAAATTCAAGCGTGACAACCAAACCAAAGTTTGAATATGCTAGAGATAGCCAATGTGAGCAGTTATCCCAACTCGATATAAAGTCTGCATTCAATCATCTAAAAGAAGACGTTATACATACAACTTTAGACCTCTCCTTCCATAACATAATCTGACAAAAATTATGACCTCGAGTTAGAATCCACTAGATTATACAAAAGAAAAATGCTCAGGATCAAACATTGCTTAGTCATTTTTTAAAGAATCAAAAGGAAGACATGCTCAGGACTAAATTATTACTAATTTTCCCCATCCTTTGTCATTCTGTGGTGATCCCTGCAGTATACATGTATGTATAAATATGACAGGCTAACAATATTTTATATCAGTGAATCTAAACTCTTCATCTCTAACGCTATTCTAGCTTAGTTAATTAAGAATATTCTCACAAATGGAAACCACAGTAAAGATTGAAGATCATCATAAACATAGTAAAGTGTACTACATGAAATTTGCAAAATACAGTTCATAAATTAAAGCCTACGACATGAATTGGAGCATTTGTCCTATCCATATGTGTATTTATCAAATAACATATAATTGTGTGTATTTTATTTTGCAAGATACTAGAATGGTATAAAGTGAAAATAGTGGCTGTAGTGAATGTAATTGGTAATATAAACGAAGTACACTTGTTCATTAGAGACAGTGCGCTGAATTGTACTGCAAACATACTAATAATAACATAATAAAAATTTCAAACTATTATATATGTTTCCAACAATATTTAATATAATAGAAATGCAAAAAGTAGAAGTAATAAATTTCTATATTACAACGTCAATTTAAATAACGAAAGCCTAACAAGAAACTTACATAGCCTCAACTTCGGATGCTTTACTTCAATCACCTTCGCTTCAGTTAACAATAGAAGGTTCAAATATAATTCAGTAAAGTTTGTCATTAGATATTGAACGATAATATGATATCGGACAGCTAAATTAAACTCCAACATCATCAACTATAACACTAAAAGTTTCAATTATTTACCATAATTCAGAGGACAAAGACTACTAAACAAACATATACATTACATGGTTGAGAACATTAAATACAACAGAAATGTTACAGGGAATAGCAATCTCGCCCGTGCTCCGCGTACCCCATTGATCATCGCGTCCCAACAGACGCAATCTCGCGCGGTCGTTCCATCAAACATCTGTCGCGCGGTCTCCAAATCGTCGGGCTTCGCGTAGCAGGTGATCATGGCCGTGGACAAAAATACCCTTGGACTTCAAATACTAATCCATAGACCTCAATTATCTAATCCTGCTTACATTTAACTAACCTCTAATAAAAAATTTGCCTTATATATATTGTTCATCTTGCACCCGTGAACATATATGCAAACAAATTAATTAAGCCCTCATTAAGCTTGTTGAATATTATTATCTAAATAGAACTCTATTCTGCTTCTACTCCAACTATAGGGAACGAATACCTTTGAGTCCAAACAAAGCTTTCCATCACGAAGTCCAGTTCTACTCTTCATTGAGATAGGCCTCTGCCTTTCCTGGAACAACAAAAAAAACTATTATAACATGATACTTGTCGCTTACCTCAGCAAATTAACACCGTTGACATTAAACTCCCATAAGCTTACAATCAGAAGTTACATTAATTCCTAAAAATGTATGACTTTTAGTTCCAATTTTTGTCAACATTAACTTCATATAAGAGTGTGTACATGAACTCCTAGAAATATTTAGTAGAAAATACCTTACACCGGCTGTGTCCATGCATTGCGTGACCAGCAATCATTGAATTCCAAGCAACAACGTCCTTCTCAGGCATTTTATCAAACACCAAGCACACATCTTCCAAGCTGCCACACTTATAATACATATCGAGGAGGGAGGTGGAGACGAAGGGGTTGGAGAGTGGGAGGAGCTTGAGGGCGAGGGAGTGGAGGGTGCGGCCGATGGGGAGAGGGGAGGACTTGAGGGCGGAGGAGAGGATGTAGGAGTTCGGGAGGGGGTCCGGTGAGGAGGATTAGAGGGGAGGGAGGCGGGGGTGGAGGCTTGAGTAGGGAGAGGGGAGGGCGGCTTAGTTGAGGGATATAGGAGCGTGGAGCTTGAGGAGTGAGGGCGGGTGGGAGCGTGGGCGGGTGAGGGTCGCGAGAGGAGAGGCGCGACTGCGGCATGGAGATCGGCGGTGTGGCGGCGCATGGAACTGATCCATCTGCTTGCTGGCAGGGCGATTAGTGGGAGTTGTCCCTCGGAATCACAGAAGAATTAGGAATGAAATTTAGGTGGTGATTAGGGGTTTCATTTCCGAGTTTGAGAATTTAGGCAGGGAAAAATTTGGAAATGAAATTTTTAAGGGAAGGGCGCACTCTTGTGGAACAACCATCCTAGACTGAAAATTTTCGTCTAGGATGCATCCTATATGGAAATCCGTCTAGGATGCTAGTCCCATTTAAAATTAAAAAAAATTAAAACACGAAAACCGTCTACTTTGCTATTGTAGACGGAAAATTCCGTCTAGGATACTTTTTCCTAGATGGAATATCCTAGACGAAAATTTTCCGTCTAGTTTAATAGCAAACTAGACGGTAACATTTCCGTCTAGGATATTCCGTCTAGGATGTGGGATTTTCTACTAGTGATATATAAGCCAAGAAATTATAATTATTTTCATAGCACTTTTGTCTCCCACAATAGGTGTGTCTTTGTTATTTTCTACTTATTAGATTAGATTAGATTATTTTAAGGTAATTAATTATATTGTATGTTTGTATGTTTCATCATTTTTTTAAATCAAGAAATTGTAATAATTTTTACAGCACTTTCATCTCCTTCAACAGGTATGTGCCTTGGTTATTTTCTCCTTATTAGATTAAATTAGATTGTTTAATCAATACGCATGTATATTATTCAATTATCATATGCATGTAGAACAAATATATGCATTTAAATTTTTTTAAAAAGAATATTTTGAATCCTATATCTTGACTCTGGATAGTGTTATATGTATGCCACAAGCCAAGTAAGAGATTTCCCTCTCAGTTTCAAAGAGTAAATTGCATAGAACATCCTAAAACTTAAGGGTATTTTCCATGAAAGCCCCAAAACTTTTTTAGAAACCCCCAACTTAACATTATCTATACAAGACTATAATGAACAAGAAACCTCTCTGCGATAAATAAAAAAATCATTATTTACATCTTTTGGTTGTGATTTTTTTGATGTTAAATGATTATGCAACTAGCAGGGTATTGGGAAGTACTTAAAAGTGTCGAGTGACATATAATTACCCCTATTAAAAGTTAAATAATAATATTTCTGATTCTCTTTTCACTTTTTTATGAAAAACAAATTGGACACGATCCCTTGAAAAATGTGAAAAAATACAAATAACTAAAAAAGCAAAAATCACAAACACCGCTCTGAAAAATATAAAATTATAAATGAATCCTTTAAAATCTAAAACTTGCTAACAACTCTTTTAAAATTTCAAAAATTACACGCTACCTCCTTAAATTTTTCAAAAACTATAAATAGGTTCCTAAAAATACAAAAATTATAAATAATTTCTTTAAAGATCTAAAAATTTCCCACAGCTTCATATTGGTTCAATGTTGTAGTAATGTAATATAATAGGAGCATAGCAATATTGCAGCATGGGATACTATAGTTGTGATTTAAATTTGGCAAGACTATATTTTTTAGGTTAGTTGTACGCAAGTGTACAATATCCTTTTTTATTTTAGAATATTTTTGTTATCCTAAGAATAAAAGGCATATTTTTAGTCCATGTAGGCTTCAGATATTTTAGACATCAAATTGTTTAGCTGATCATAGTATAAATTCATTGATTTTAAGCAAAAAAATTTACTATGAAGAAAGGCTTAGCATTCTTAGAATGGTCAATTGACTACATATGAATTATTATATGAAATCTGACTTTATCTCTTGCGACGTTCTGAATGCTATCCCTCATGTCTAAAATGTTAACTGTGGCAACAAATAGGCCAATATTGCAAATAGTAAAAATCATCCTAGATTACTTGAAATCGAAGCGCTATTCAGTCCTGAGTTTTTTGTCCTTGTACCCTTAAAACTGAGAATAGTATTTGTCAAATCCCTCTTTCATTTAAATAAAGCTCCCCCATTCTACATATATAATTAAGTTCTCAATCTTATACAATACTCTCTATCACTCAAAGAACCTACCCATACTTCACTCATGCAACGGCCAAACTTACAAGTGCAGTTTTACAGTTAAACCCCTCATACTTCCAATTTTGCATGACACCTCGTATTGACTTCCTAAATGGACCAAGACCCATATTATCCATATATCACATTAAAAAAAGAAATTCTAATTGTCATCAAATATTTGATAATCCTAAGTTGGAGCATTATAATTCCCTCCATTTGTTCAGACAAAAGATATATAACATTATTCTTAAACAATTAACTTTTCAAACATGGAAAGCAACTAACCTTGTTAAACAAAAAATCTAGAAAAAAAATTATATCAATTCACATTAATTTAGATTCTTTTTATTTGGTCAAGCAGAAGATATGTACAACATTCTTGAGCAATTAGTTTCTAAAACACACGTGAACTAACAGTGTTAATTTGATAAATTTTTGCCAAGTATTTTTGGAGGTTTAGTGAGAGTTTTAAAGGTAATAGGGGTTTAGTGTTAGATACTCAACTTGTTTGGGGTTAATTACCCATATTTTATTTTATAAAGATACTAGATTAGTTGCTACATGTGAAAACCTTATATCTATTGAAGAATAAATTAAGTGTTCAAATGGGTTTGATATCATAGTCCTTTATATGTTAAGTTTGGATTTCTATTTAGTGTCTCAAATTGTTTAATGTAATATTAAATATATAGGACATAATCTCTTAACAAAAAGGGTATCCTATTTTCTCTTCGGCATACCAAAATGAGGTCGAGGAACAAACTTAAGTTTGAAAAAAACAATAAAAAGATCATTCACATGCATATACTCAAAGAAATATACTACAGTTGAGTCAATAGTTTTTGATGATTGAGTAGATATAATAGGGCTTTTTCAATATTAGTCCATAAATGTTTTGACATTTAACCACGTGTATTACACGTGCATAAAAACTAGTACATAAGTAAAGTCTCAAGGGCAACATTCACTAGCTAATTTTGAAATTCGTTTCAATCAAATAATATGCCCCAACCGCCCAACGAGACAATTGTTCGAGACCGTAGTTTTACAGTATTGCCCCTGGAACCTCTCAGGTGTTTTAAATAGCACTCACAGCTATCAAATGTTTTATAAATTAAACCCATTGCCATCGGAGGCAATCACCAACATTCATCATCGATAACTGACGAAGCGTCTGCGCCAATCACCAAGAAATCATTTCGTCAAAGATTTTCAAGGTGAGTTCTCCTACGTTAAGAGTTTGCAGATTTTTTTTCCTCTTCAAACCGTGAGTTTCAAACCGTGAGTTTGTGAGTTCTGTTGTCCTAAGCGTTTACATTTTCTCCTCCATTAATAGTTAGCACCCTAACATCAAAGATTTTCAAGTTCTCCTGAATTGAAATTTTCTTTGCGTGTTGTTTTTTTCCCTTTTTGGTGTCGTGTTGTTTTTTCTAAATGAAGTTTCTTGAACCGTGTACGTGTTTTCTCTAAAGCAAAATGGAGGTTTCTATAAGCAACAAAAAGATTTGTCTAAATGAGTTTCCATTCGTTACTCTTTGCTTTGTAGTTTTCTTGATTAAACGGTTCTGTTACTTGTATTTGCAGTAGCCACTAGCCAGGGCTGCACGCTTGTACCTCATTATTTATATGATCGATACTCGTAAATAAGTTGGAGATAGGACTAAGTGGCTTTCATCCATCACGATAAAGGGGTTTACTAGTTCTAGTTATAACCGACACTTGTAATCTACGGTCAAGATAGTTATTAGATATATTAGATACAAGATGGAAGGTTTTGCTTGGTTAGATTAATAATTCTTATATTTCTATGGAAACTCAACTCCGGTTCAGTAGTTATTATAGGTGGCAAAGTGGAGAGCTGAGGTACCTAATAATGTGTTATATGCGTCTGTTGACCTCTTTTTTATTTGTTATTTCTTGTATTGATTGCCAAAGAAATGGAGGTTTTGTTACAGGATATGATTTTGTAAGTAACGGTTTCGTGTAGCAGATAGGTTAGAGTTGAGTTTATAGTAGATTTAGCAGCCTTGTGCTTGACGGGGCAAGGAATCGTCCAAATTCGTAAAAGAGCATGCTCATAGATTGAGCGAAAACTCGTGAGTAGAACTGTAAGATTAAGAGTAGGTTCTAACCTTATCAGAAGTGTAAATTAAAAAAAAGGGAGTCGGTCGTACACAGAAAGTTTGTGGTTTATGAGCGTCTTGGGTGAATTCTGAGTACACCTTATTATTTACCAAATTCAGCTTATCAAAATGTTTAAATATAGTATCATATAGAGTATGATATTACTAAATACAATGATCTTTTATCATCTGTTGACGACCACTAGGAATTAAGTATGTTCTTGCCGATCTATATTATAAATTATCATTCTTGTAATTTAATCTGCGGCACTTAAATAAGAAATTTATATTTTATGAATAGATATAAACCAATAAGAATATATGTTACTGAAAATTTTATTTAGGGATCTAATATAGAAATTAGTCAGATACTAATTCAGACTAACAATAATTAGGGAATTTGGAGGCCTAACAATTCAAAGATTGTGCTGAAGAAGTGATCTGCGTACTTCAAATCATATTTGACCATGTTGGACTTTAAATGTCATATAACATTGAATGCTTTAGGCCATTTATCTACAAAGGCAACATGTGGTATCATGGTGGTGTAGAATTGTGACATAAAATTAACAGTTCTTTATATTTAATCACTTTAATATATTGAGAAATGAAGTTTGAATACTTTAGACATTTTCGTTTGACGAATTTAACCTTTATCGTTTTTATCGCAGAGTCATGGAGACAATCAAGAAAGAAGCTCTGATGTCTCTAACAGTTAGTGAATAAAACTCTACAACATTGGCAGAAGATCAGCAAGAGGCAACAAGCTTAGGACATGATTTGAATGCAAGACCCTCTGTTGGTCTAGAATCTGCCGATGGTGAATTAGACAGGAATCTTCCCTCCTCGTCACTGGAAATTGAAGAACAACATGAGGAGCTGGCAGACTCTAACTCTGGGGTTGAGAGAGCTACAACGAGCACGGGTACATGAAACTCACATACTTTCCCAAATTATGTTGCTGTTCATGTCAATCCTAAAATATCTTTTACTTGTTCTAAAAGATGTTGTTTTATTATTTAGATGCTCCCCTACCAGAGACATCTAATGCAGACTCTAATTCTGGTGTTGAGAGAGCTACAACGAGCGCAGGTATCTGGAACTCACGTACATTCCCAACTTGTGTCGCTGTTGATGTCAATCCTAAGATATCTATTGCTTGTTCTAAAATTTGTTATTTGTAACTCAGATGATCCCCTGCCGGAGACATCTAATGCAGACTCTAACTCTGGGGTTGAGGGGGCTGCAACGAGCATAGGTATATGAAACTCACATACTTTCCCATCTTATGTTGCTTGTTGTTGATGTCAATCCTAAGATATCTATTACTTGTTCTAAAATAGGTTATTTGTAACTCAGATGCTCCCCTGCTAGAGACATCGAATGCAGACTAACTCTGGGGTTGAGGGGGCTACAAAGAGCACAGGTAGCTGAAACTCACATACATTCTGAACTTATATTTTTGTTGATGTCCTAAAAGATGTTATTTATAACCTAGATGATCTCCTGCCTGATACATCTAATGCATATGTTGCAGGGGGAGTGGCAATCCCTCTAAGGAGAAGCAGCAGGAAAAGACTCACAGCTTTCTGTTCGTGGAGACATGTTGGCTGTCTTGGGAAAAGACTGCCAGCTTTCTGTTCGTGGAGTTTGTGCCTTGTATAGGCAGCAAAGTTTTGAGGAGAAATTTGCGCATAGAGCACTAGAAAGAAACAATAAGGGTTTCAGCATAGCAGACACAAAGCTGTAAGAATAGAATATTGAGTTCCTTAATATTGTATAATTTTTTGCTTAGAAAGGAAATGATATTTATGTCTTACTTTTTATTTACAGGGCTTCCTGTTACGCAAAGTTCATGCTTGGAGAACAAACAAATGGGGACATCCAAAGATCAGTGCGTGAGCTGGACAGAAGGTATCCTTATGCATCAGATAGATGCATAACTATTTCCATGAAATACTCGAAACAGCTCTTTAGCATCTATAAGAAGGGAGGGGACCAATTCTTTCAACCGTAGTGAGGAGAGAGCCTTATAAATACTAAAGACTGTCAGTCTTTTGTAATCAGAAAAAGCAGTTTTCTTGTGTAGTATCTGACAATTTTATTGTAACATGGTATCTGATTTTAGTATAAGTTACTGTTGTGTATATTCCAACTCAGTCCACGTGACAGGTATATCATTTTCATTTAACATCTTATTGTGATACATGGGCAGTGTCGCTTAAGGTAATTTCCATGCGTGTGATGCCCATTTTGTTTAGCTTCCTAATAACATGCAATATACTGATACTGCATTCAATAAGGGAAAAAAATAAAAAAATGCAATATGCTCTTATTTGTCAGGACTCATTTTTGAGAAACAGAAGCATGCTAGTCTTCTCCAATTTGTAGATGAATTTTTTTCCCCTCGTATTGTAACTGTTATTGGAAGTGATTTTCCAGCTTTGGATCTCGTAAGTCATGATTGCATAATTTAGATAATAGTAATTTCAAATGAGGGTAGAGAGGGAAAAAAATTATCTGCAAATTGGAGAAGACTAGCATGTTTCTGTTTCTCAAAAATGAGTCCTGACAAATAAGAGCATATTGCATTTTTTAATTTTTTTTTACCCCTTGTTTAATACAGTATCAGTATATTGCATGTTATTAGGAGGCTAAACAAAATGGGCATCACACGCATGGAAATTACCTTAAGCGACACTGCCCATGTATCGCAATAAGATGTTAACATGAAAATGATATACCTGTCATGTGGACTGTGAGTTGGAATATACACAACAGTAACTTATACTAAAATCAGATACCATGTTACAATAAAATTGTCAAATACTACACAAGGAAACTGCTTTTTCTGATTACAAGAGACTGACAGTCTTTAGTATTTATAAGGCTCTCTCCTCACTACGGTTGAAAGAATCGGTCCCCTCCCTTCTTATAGATGCTAAAGAGTTGTTTCGAGTATTTCATGGAAATAGTTATGCATCTATCTGATGCATAAGGATACCTTTTGTCCAGCTCACGCACTGATCTTTGGATGTCCTCATTTGTTTGTTCTCCAAGCATGAACTTTGCGTAACAGGAAGCCCTGTAAATAAAAAGTAAGACATAAATATCATTTCCTTTCTAAGCAAAAAATTATACAATATTAAGGAACTCAATATTCTATTCTTACAGCTTTGCGTCTGCTATGCTGAAACCCTTATTGTTTCTTTCTAGTGCTCTATGCACAAATTTCTCCTCAAAACTTTGCTGTCAATACAAGGCACAAAGTCCACGAACATAAAGCTGGGAGTCTTTTCCCAAGACCGCCAACATGTCTCCACGAACAGAAAGCTGGGAGTCTTTTCCTGCTGCTTCTCCTTAGAGGGATTGCCACTCCCCCTGCAACATATGCATTAGATGTATCAGGCAGGGGATCATCTGGGTTATAAATAACATCTTTTAGGACATCAACAAAAATATAAGTTCAGAATGTATGTGAGTTTCAGCTACATGTGCTCTTTGCAGCCCCCTCAACCCAGAGTTAGTCTGCATTCGATGTCTCTAGCAGGGGAGCATCTGAGTTACAAATAACCTATTTTAGAACAAGTAACAGATATCTTAGGATTGACATCAACAACAAGCAACATAAGATGGGAAAGTATGTGAGTTTCATATACATGTGCTCGTTGCAGCTACCTCAACCCCAGAGTTTGAGTTTGCATTAGATGTCCGGCAGGGGAGCATCTGAGTTACAAATAACCTATTTTAGAACAAGTAACAGATATCTTAGGATTGACATCAACAACAAGCAACATAAGATGGGAAAGTATGTGAGTTTCATATACATATGCTCGTTGCAGCTACCTCAACCCCAGAGTTTGAGTTTGCATTAGATGTCCGGCAGGGGATCATCTGAGTTACAAATAACAAATTTTAGAACAAGCAATAGATATCTTAGGATTGACATCAACAGCGACACAAGTTGGGAATGTACGTGAGTTCCAGATACTTGCGCTTGTTGTAGCTCTCTCAACACCAGAATTAGAGTCTGCATTAGATGTCTCTGACAGGGGAGCATCTAAATAATAAAACAACATCTTTTAGAACAAGTAACAGATATTTTAGGATTGACATCAACAACAACATAATTTGGGAAAGTATGTGAGTTTCATATACCAGTGCTCGTTGTAGCTCTCTCAACCCCTGAGTTTCTGCCAGTTCCTCATGTTGTTCTTCAATTTCCAGTGACGAGGAGGGAAGATTCCTGTCTAATTCACCATCAACAGATTCTAGACCAGCAGAGGGTCTTGCATTCAAATCATGTCCTAAGCTGGTTGCCTCTTGCTAATCTTCTGCCAATGTAGTAGAGTTTTATTCACTAACTATTAGAGACATCAGAGCTTCTTTCTTGATTGTCTCCATGACTCTGATAAAAACGATAAAGGTTAAATTCGTCAAACGAAAATGTCTAAAGTATTCAAACTTTATTTTTTAATATATTAAAGTGATTAAATATAAAGAACAGTTAATTTTATGTCACAATTCTACACCACCATGATACCGCATGTTGCCTTTGTAGATAAATGGCCTAAAGCATTCAATGTTATATGACGTTTAAAGTCCAACAGGGTCAAATATGATTCGAAGTATGCAGATCACTTCTTTAGCACAATCTTTGAATTGTTAGGCCTCCAAATTCCCTAATTATTGTTAGTCTGAATTAGTATCTGATTAATTTCTCTATTAGATCCCTAAATAAATTTTTCAGTAACATATATTCTAATTGGTTATATCTATTCATAAAATATAAATTTCTTATTTAAGTGCCGCAGATTAAATTACAAGAATGATAATTTATAATATAGATCGGCAAGAACATACTTAATTCCTAGTGGCCGTCAACAGATGATAAAAGATCATTGTATTTAGTAATATCATACTCTATATGATACTATATTTAAACATTTTGATAAGCTGAATTTGGTAAATAATAAGGTGTACTCAGAATTCACCCAAGACACTCATAAACCACAAACTTTCTATGTACGACCTACTCCCTTTTTTTTAATTTACGCTTCTTGTAAGGTTAGAACCTACTCAATCTTACAGTTCTACTCACGAGGTTTCGATCAATCTACGAGCACGCTCTTTTACGAATTTGGACGATTTCTTGCCCCGTCAAGTATAAGGCTGCTGAATCTACTATAAACTCAACTCTGACCTATCTGCTACACGAAACCGTTACTTACATAATCATATCCGGTAACAAAACCTCCATTTCTTTTGGCAACCAATACAAGAAATGACAAATAAAAAAGAGGTCAACAGACGCATATACCACATTATCAGGTACCTCAGCTCTCCACTTTGCCACCTATAATAACTACTGAACCAGAGTTGAGTTTCTATAAAAATATAAGAATTATTAATCTAACCAAGCAAAACCTTCCATATTGTATCTAAAATATCTAATAATTATCTTGACCTTAGATTACAAGTGTCGGTTATAACTAGAACTAGCAAACCCCTTTATCGTGATGGATGAAAGCCACCGAGTCCTATTTCCAACTGTTTGTGGAAAATTTGCAGTAAAAAGACAATGAAGGAAAATTAATTTGTATTCCTTTAATCTCAGTTACAATTGGATTTCCGATTACAAAAGAGAAGAGAATGATCTGGATTCTCTCCTTTGTTTAATTCTGGGTTCTTCACGGTGGCGATGAGATGCCTCCCTCGAATGCTCGCGTCGAGTTTGCTTCTCGTTGACGATCCGATGTCTTGTTTCACTGGAACATGGTCTTCTCCTCACGATTTGACGTTGTGGAGAACTCTGAACGAGTTTAAAACTCTATGAAAGAGTTGATTTAACCGAAAGTCGGTTTTAAGCCAAGGATAAAAAAAATCTTGTTGCCGATCTCCAAAGCTCCAACCGAAGGATGAAGGATCCTCTTTTCGCTGCCAAGAAATTCCAACCGACCGCCTCGAAAGATCCAACCCTTATCTGATTATCAAAAATCTGATCTTTAACTCTGTTGAGTTTGTTGTTATTTATAGGGGATTAAGGGGTGTAACCACCTCCTTAATTCGCTCCTAAGTGAGGCTAATGGGATGTAACCGCCCCTTAAATCACTCCTGAGTGGAGTTGTGATCCCCTCAGATCGTGGGAAACGGTTTTGAAACCGTTCAACTCGTGTTTGAATGAGTCAAACGCAGGCCCGCGTTCTGATGTGAATTCTGCATTCAAACGCAGTGTCTGGAAGCTTGAACGCATCGTCTGGAAGCTCGAACGCATCGTCTGGAAGCTCGAACGCATCGTCTGGAAGCTCGGACACAGCAATTAGAAGCTACGTTTGCAGCGTTGGAATCTACATCTGAGCTGCGTTTGCAGCGATTTGGAAGCTGCGTCTGGCGGTGATTTGAGCTGCGTTTGGCGGCGATTGCTGCGTTTGCAGCGATTTGGAAGCTGCGTCTGGCGGTGATTTGAGCTGCGTTTGGCGGCGATTTGAGCAGCGTTTGGCAGCGATTTGAGCTGCGTCTGGCAGCGATTAGAGCTGCGTCCAGTGGCGATTTAAGCTGCGTTTGCAACTTTTAGAGCTGCATTTGAGCTGCGTTCGTGGCTATGAACGCGGCGCATCTTGATGCTGGTACGCGGGAAGGACTTCCACGTCTTGATTTGAAGAGACCATTGATTTGTAGTCTCTTTCTGTCGAAGCGTTGCAAAGATCGTCATTTTGTAATCTTTACTTTAGCTCTTTGATATGCAAGAGTCGTCAGATTGTAACTCTCGATGTTGATGGTGAAGGCTATTAAACTAGAGCTCTCATCGGTTGTCGTGAAGGTCGTCAGATTGTAACCTTCAGCGATCTACGTGAAAGTCTTCAAATTGTAGTCTTCTGGAAGTCGTCAGATTGTAACTTCCATCATCGGTGTTTGATGGGGATCAGCTATCTATTGTGATTTTTAAACAGCCTACACCAACTTACTTACGAGTATCGATCATATAAATAATGAGGTACAAGCGTGCAGCCCTGGCTAGTGGCTACTGCAAATACAATGACAAATACAACAGAACCGTTTAATCAAGAAAACTATAAAGCAAAGAGTAACAAATGGAAACTCATTTAGACACAAATCTTTTTGTTGCTTATAGAAACCTCCATTTTGCTTTTGAGAAAACACGTACACGGTTCAAGAAACTTCATTTAGAAAAAAAAAACATGCAAAAAAGGGAAAAAAACAAGAACAACAAAATTACAAAAAAGGAAAAAAAACAACACGCAAAGAAAATTTCAATTCAGGAGAACTTGAAAATCTTTGATATTAAGGTGCTAACTATTAATGGAGGAGGAAATGCAAACCCTTAGGACAGCAGAACTCACAGTTTGAAGAGGAAAAAAAATTTGCAAACTCTTAACGTAAGAGAACTCACCTTGAAATTCTTTGACGAAATGATTTCTTGGTGATTGGCGCAGACTCTTCGTCAGTTCTTGATGATGAATGTTGGTGATTGCCTCCGATGGCGATGGGTTTAATTTATAAAACATTTGATAGCTACGAGTGCTATTTAAAACACCTGAGAGGTTCCAGGGGCAATACTGTAAAACTATGATCTCGAACAACTGTTTCGTTGGGCGGTTGGGGCATATTATTTGATTGAAACGGATTTCAAAATTAGCTAGTGAATGTTGCTCTTGAGACTTTACTTAATGTACTAGTTTTTATGCACGTGTAATACACGTGGTTAAATGTCCAAAGATTTATGGACTAATATTGAAAAAACCCTATTATATCTACTCAATCATCAAAAACTATTGACTCAACTGTAGTATATTTCTTTGAGTATATGCATGTGAATGATCTTTTTATTGCTTTTTTCATACTTAAGTTCAACTGTAGTATATTTCTTTGAGTATATGCATGTGAATGATCTTTTTATTGCTTTTTTCATACTTAAGTTTGTTCCTCTACCTCATTTTGGTATGCATGCATGTGAATGATCTTTTTATTGCTTTTTTCATACTTAAGTTTGTTCCTCTACCTCATTTTGGTATGTCAAAGAGAAAATAGGATACCCTTTTTGTTAAGAGATACCGTCCTATATAAACAATTTGAGACACTAAGGGGGTGTTTGGTTTCACGGTTTTATAGAAAAGTTTTCTCAAAATGTCTGACAATGGTAATTCTGTAATTAAAAATTTCTCTAGATTTTTGTAAATTGTGTTGGGTTTAAAAAAATTTACAGAAATGTTTTCTGTAAAGTACAAAAAAAGTTCCAAAATTTACAGAAATCGATTTTCTCTCAAAATGGGCGGAAATCACCCAGAAATCTGACACCACATTGACACTTTTCTATAAAGGGGGTCTTTGGTTCAATTTCTACAAATTATAAAAAATCTTGTTATCTTCTATAAAGTTATAGGTCATTTTTTGTTTTGAACCAAACAAGCAAAGTAAAAAAATAAGAAAATTGGTTCTTTTTTACTTCTCAAAAATTTTTCTATAATTTTTTTAAGAAATACAAGGAAATCATATTTTGGGTGAAAAATATTTCCTATAATTTGTAGAAATTGAACCAAACACCCCCTAAATAGAAATCCAAACTTAACATATAAAGGACTATGATATCAAACTCATTTGAACAATTAATTTATTCTTCAATAGATATAAGGTTTTCACATGTAGTAACTAATCTAGTATCTTTATAAAATAAAATATGGGTAATTAACCCCAAACAAGTTGAGTATCTAAAACTAAACCCCTATTACCTTTGAAACTCTAACTAAACCCCAAAAATACTTGGCAGAAATTTATCAAATTAACACTGTTAGTTCACGTGTGTTTTAGAAACTAATTGCTCAAGAATGTTGTACATATCTTTTGGTTGACCAAATAAAAAGAATCCAAATTAATGTGAATTGATATAATTTTTTCTAGATTTTTTTTCTAGATTTTTTGTTTAACAAGGTCGGTGGTTTTCCATGTTTGAAAAGTTAATTGTTTAAGAATAATCTTATGTATCTTTTGTCTGAACAAATGGAGGGAATTATAATGCTCCAACTTAGGATTATCAAATATTTGATTACAATTAGAATTTCTTTTTTTAAGGTGATATATGGATAATATGGGTTTTGGTCCATTTAGGAAGTCAATACGAGGTGTCATGCAAAACTTGAAGTATGAGGGGTTTAACTGCAAAACTGCACTTGTAAGTTTGGCCGTTGCATGAGCGAGGTGTCATGCAAAACTTGAAGTATGAGGGGTTTAACTGCAAAACTGAACTTGTAAGTTTGGCTGTTGCATGAGTGAAGTATGGGTAGGTTCTTTAAGTGATAGAGAGTATTGTATAAGATTAGGAACTTAATTATTATGTAGAATGGGGGAGCTTTATTTAAATGAAAGAGGGATTTGACAAATACTATTCTCAGT